ATCCTTCCACCTCAGCCTTCCAAGTAGCTGGAACTACAGGCACGCGCTACCACGCCCAGCTAATTTTTTGATTTATTGTAAAGCTGAGGTTTCACCAAGTTGCCCAGGCGGGTCTCAAACCCATGGGCTCAGGCAATCCACTCACCTCAGCCTTCCAAAGTACTGGGATTACAGGCTGAGCCACCGAGCCCGGCTAGTTCTTTCTTATAAATATTTTTAAAAGTCTTCCTTTTTTCATTTTAAAGTTGTGGGGTACAATTCAGGGATAAGTATACAAATGTTCATTATGCAGGTGCCCTTGTTGATGAGGTGTGCCCCCACCCTCCCCGGGCAGTTTCCCACTACTGCCAATCCCTTTCTTATAGTATTATGATAATTGTTCAAATTCTGCTTATGAGTGAGAATATGTGGTACTCAGTTCTGTGTTTCTGTGATAGACAACTCAGTAAAATGCTTCCTTTTTTAAAAAGTCTTATTTTAAAAAGCATTTTTTCTTATAAAAAAAGTTGGCTGATGCCTGTAATCCCAGCATGTGGAGAGGCCAAGGCAGGAAGATCACTTGAGCCCAAAAGTTTGAGACCAGTCTGGGTAATATAGCAACACCTCTTCACCACAAAAAATTTTAAATTAGCCAGGCATGGTGGCATACACCTGTATTTTCATTTACTTGGGAGGCTGAGACAGAAGGATCACCTGAGCTCAGGAGGGTGAAACTACGGTGAGCTATGATCTTGCCACTGCACTCCAGACTGGGCAACAGAGTGAGACCTCAACTCAAAAAAAAAAGTTTTCCTTTCAATAAATAGGGATAGACTTTCATTTAATTAGATCTTATTTACTTTCTCTCAGCAAAATTTTTCTACTTTATGAGTACTCTTACATGACTTGCATTATAGTATGTTACTATTGTTTATGGTTTTTTTTTTTAAAGCGGGATTTATTAAGAGGACAAAGCTCCCACAGTGGGAGGGGACCCAAAGGTGTTGCCTGGTATCTTTTTTTTTTCTTTCTTTTTTTTAGTTGGAGTCTCATTCTGTTGCCCAGGCTTGAGTGTAGTAGCATGCTTACCGCCATCGCAGCCTCAACCTGCTGGGCTCAGGTGATCCTTCTGCCTCAGCCTTCCAAGTAGCTGGAGTTACAGACACACCCCACCATGCCCGGCTAATTTTTTGATTTATTGTAGAGATAAGGTCTCACCAAGTTGCCCAGGTCAGTCTCGAATCTGTGGACTCAGGCAATTCTCTCATCTCAACCTCCCAAAGTGCTGGGATTATGGGTGTGAACCACCGTGCCCAGTCTCTTTTTTAAAATTAAGTTATGCTTTTATTTGTTTTCAGTGAGTCAAAATGCAGCCACTTGCTAAATTTTCCTATTATTTATATTGATTTAGTGATGTCTCCTTTTTGCTTTACTATGTAGACAATCATATAATCTACAGGTAATAAGAGTATTTCTTCCTTTCAAATTTTTATGATTTTGTTTTTTTGGTTTTATTGTGCTAACTAAAATATTTGGTACAGTGTTAAATAGAGTGATAGTGAGCACTCCTATCTTATTCCTAATTCTATTTTATTTATTTATTTTTTTGAGGAGACAGGGTCTTACTATGTTTCCCAAGCTAGTCTCAAACTCCTGGACTCAATCTTCCCTGCTAGGACTCCCAGAGTGCTAGAATTAAAGGCATAAGACTCTGCAACTGGCCTGTTCCTAATTTTAAAGGGAACACTTCTAGTGTTTCTCCATTTAAGATGATATTTACTATATGTTTTATTTGTTTGCTTTTTATCATCCTTACATTAAACAAATTCACTTTATTCCTAATTTGTTACTGTTTAAAATCATAAATAGATGTTGAATTTCTTTCAAAATAACAAAAACTAAAGAGACTAAAGAGAAGTCAATAAAGCCAATGCATGATGCTACATTATATCCTAGATGAGAAAGAAACTATAAAGGACAAAACAGGTTGGACTAGAAGCATTTTATATTTCAGATTTTTTTTTTTGGATTTTGGAATATGTGCATATAATAATGAGACATCTTTGGGAAGGGACCCAAGTCTAAACACGAAATTCATTTATATTTCACATGTACCTTATAACCTGAAGGAAATTTTATACAATATTTTAAATAACCTTGTGCATGAAACAAAGTTAGTGTTAGGTGCTTATATGTGGAATTTTCCACATGTGGCATCACATGGGTGCTCAAAAAGCTTTGGATTTTGGAGCATTTCAAATTTTGTATCAGAGATGCTCAGTGGGTGCTGGGACAATTAATAAAATTTGAACATATATTGTGAATTAGTTAATAAAAATTTATTGGTAGCCGGGTTCGGTGGCTCAGCCTGTAATCCCGCGACTTTGGGAGGCTGAGGTGAGTGGATTGCCTGGGCCCGCGGGTTCGAGACCCGCCTGGGCAGGCGAGACCTCATCTCTACAATAAATCAAAAAATCAGCCGGGCGTGGTAGCGCGTGCCTGTAATTCCAGCTACTTGGAAGGCTGAGGCAGAAGGATCACCGGAGCCCAGCAGGTCGAGGCTGCGGTGGCCAGGAGCGGCCACTGCACTCCAGTCGGGGCGACAGAGTGAGACTCCAACTCAAAAAAAAAAAATTTATTGGTGTTATAGTTCCTGATTTTGATCATTGTACTGCGATTATTAATAGAATGACTTTGATTTTAGGAACACATGCTGAAATATTTAAGGGTAAAGGGGTATCTCCAGCTTCCACTAAATGGTTCTGAAAACTTTTTTTTTTAATATATCCAAAATGTGTTTATTGGAATGGTTTCCCATTCATCTTGATTGGGGTGCTTTTAGTGCTGCTTCCTCCTGAAGGAACATCCTTCTGTGAGCCTTGCTTTTCCGCCTGTAGGCTGACAGAGGACAGTGGAGCAGCCGACACACAAAACTACTGTTTGTGCATGGCTGAAGACCATGGTGATTTTATAGCATCCTGGGCATTTCACATCCATGAAGTAGGAGTTGGGGCTCTACACCGGGCGCTTCTTCTTGAGTTTCCTCTTCTCCTCTTCTGGAGAGGGATGAAGAGGGTCCTTTGCTAGAGGCATGCTCTCGTGGGTAGGTCGTCACCGCCGGAAATGTGGCTCTGAAAACTTTTAAGGAACAGATCATTTCCTTCTATTTTGTTGCTCCACCATTCTTGTGCTGCCTCATGGTCAGATATGGCTTCTCAGGTTCCTGCCATCATAAGCATTTCAGTCAACCAACAGGGAAGAAGGGAAAAACAGCAGCATGCCGTCTTCCTTTTAAGACATGACTGGAAGTAGCACACTAAAATTCCACGTTTCATTAGCCAAAACACAGATATCTGGCCACACTTAGCTGCAAGGGAGGCTGGGAGGTGTAGTGTTTATTTTAGCCCAGCTGGACAGCAGAGGCCTTAGCGCTAAGGAAAAGGAGGAGAGCAGACAGTCTCTTCCACAGCTACCTGCTGGGTGAATTACAAGACACACCTATTGTAAAGCTCACGATGTTTAGTAGGATTCGTTAAAACATGGCATTTAATGATTTCACTTACATTCTCTAATTTAATTTTCCTAGTAATCATGTGAGTAAAGGCAAATAAGATGATCTTAATTGCAGATTATGAAACGAAGACTCAGGCTGATTATAGTTGTTGGTGATGGTGTTTGCTTATTTGCTCTGTTTTGTTTTTAAAGAAGGAGGCAGGAGAGTCAAAGCGAAAGGAGAAGTAGCGCCGTTCTGGAGTCCTAGATTCCCATAAAGTCCCGTAATTTTGTATTTTGTGACTTTCTCAATTTAGCCCACAAATCTGCAAAGGACAGAACTAAGGTCCACTGACTCCACTGTTGGACACTTCCCACTGTATCCCCTGTGAATCAAGTTGTAGGAAATGTGAACAAATAAGTCATATTGCATGATCCACTCACATAGATAATGAAATAAAAGCCAGCCTTTATCGAGCACATACTGCATGCCAGGAATTCAGCTTAAACATTCCTCACATTGGCTTACTCCACCCTTATAACCACCCCAGGAGACAGATAGGCCTATGATCCCCTTTCTTCAGATAAAGAAAATGAGGCAGAGAGTCAATATATTTTACAAATTTTTAAGAATAATAATATCTTTACCCTGGAGCCCTCCCACCCACCCACAATCTGTACAAAGCATTTAAGTCATCCTTACAGATTATGGGTGACACAGCTGGTTGCCTAACCAATATTCATTCTCCTCTTCTTGTGAATGGCACAGTACTTTAACAGGGAAATTTGATAAGTGGTACAGACAACTCCATAGGTCACTAATGTAATGGGGAAATATACAGCAACTGTGTTGTTTTTGCCTAACTTAAGAGTGGGTCTTTAGTGTCAGTAGTTTATAGCAACCACAAGAGAGTTTTTCATTTAACTATAGGCAGTTTAGAGGTGAAAAGTAGGTATCTTGCAAAGGAGATGGAGATTCAGAGACTCTTATTTACTGGACAAAGTTCCCAAAGTCAGACAGTAAAAGCTTGATTTGTGACTCCTTGTTGGATCTTAGGCAAAATTATCTTGCTGTTTCCAGTGTCTGGTGGAGATTCCAATTTAAAGAGATCTTGAGAGAACAGTCTACGACATCTTCTTATCTCTCACATCTCAAATTCCACCTACCTAAAAATCTGTTATGGTTATAAAGTTGATAGAATATGAGTGTTTCTGTCACCAACTGTGTTTCAGTTGGACAGAAAGTGGTAGATTCAGATATTTTCTGGGGTGTTTTAGCACATAAAGTCTGTCACACAAATGCAATCAGCTTCTAAGATGTCACAAGCTATCTCTGTGAGCCCACTTTGGGAAACTCTATCCTCTCAAAACAACTGTGAATCATCTAAAAGGAAAAAAAATTGATTTCTGTAAATGTTTGTATATATGTAACATGAATACAAATAGTATTGCCATGATATTTTAAAATTGTGAATTCCTTTAATCAATGAGCTAATTAATCTTTATTAAGCATGTTCTATGTGTCCAGTACAGCAAAAATACAAGGAGAAAATTGAATGACATGATCTCTACTTAGAATTTGGTTGGATGGGGAAAAAACTCAGGTACACCTAAAGTTAGCAAATAACTTTTTTTTTTTTTTTTTTTGAGTTGGAGTCTCACTCCATCACCCAGACTGGAGTGCAGTGGCTGCACCTAGCCACCGCAGCCTCGACCTGCTGGGCTCTGGCGATCCTTCCGCCTCAGCCTTCCGAATAGCTGGAACTACAGGCGCGCGCTACCACGCCCGGCTAATTTTTTTTTTTTTTATTGTAGAGATGAGGTCTTGCCAAGTTGCCCAGGCGGGTCTCGAATCAGCGGGCTCAGGCAATTCACTCACCTCAGCCTCCCAAAACACGGGATTACAGGCTGAGCCTCCGAGCCCGGCTAGCAAATAACTTCAAGTATAAAATGTAAAAAGTTAAGCCTTCAAAACATGTTGTACATTACAGATACATAATTTTTATCTGTCAATTTAAAAAGCTGTCTAGTAAAAATTTAGTGAAAGTAGACTTCAGCACAGTCTGGGGTCAGGGGAGTTATATGTGTTCATTTTAACAGTCTAGACAATACAGAATGAACAGTGTGGTGTTCTGATTACGGTCCAAGCAATGTTTTGTTTTGGTCAATGCTGACCCTAAATTTCTGTAATGTGTTATCTTGGGCAGGGCACTTAACCTTTCTGTAAACTGGAACTGTTCTGAGTAAGTCAACGAGTATATAATTCCCTCTTCTTCCTCTTCCTCCTCCTCCTCCTCTTCTTCTTCTCCTCCTTCCTTCTCCCTCCTCCTTCCTTCTTCCTTCTTCTTTCTTTTAAATGACAGAGTCTTGCTCTGTTGCCCAGGCTAGAGTGCAGTGGCACAATCATAGCTAACTGTAATATTTAATTCCTGGGATTAAGTGATCCTCCCGCCTCAGCCTCTTGAATAGCTGGGGCTACAGGTGCATTGCCACACCCAGCTAATTTTTTGGTAGAGACAGGGTCTCACTGTGTTGCCCAGTCTTGTCTTGAACTCCTGGGCACAAGCCATCCTCCCACCTCGGCCTTTCAAACCACTAAGATTAAAGACCCAAGCCACCATGCCTGGCCTAACCTTCTAAATGGCTTACCTAGATTCATTCTGACTCACCTCTGATCAGTTCTCCATTCAGCAGTTTGAATGGTCTTTCCAAAATGCAAATCTAATGACTTCTGTTGCTCCTGAGATAAAGACAAAAATTCCCAACATGGCCATGAGGCCTTTCCTGCCATTTTAGCTTCAGCTTGCTCCCCATCCTTCCACTGGCCTTTCTATCCCACATACCCACCCAACTCCCCCCACTCAGAGCACGTGCTCTTAACCACCCTCATTCCCACAAGATCTACTCACATTTCAGATATCAGCTCCAGTTCACTGCCTCGGAGTAGCCTTCCCTGACCAGACTGAAGCCCCTTATTGTAAACTCTCTGGTGGCCATGGGATGTGCCTCTTTTTTGTAGCAGCTGTCTCAGGGTTTTTTTGTGTGATTATTTGACTTATAGTTTAGTGTATTTGATTCATGTCTATCTCCCCCCAAGTCTTTGTAAGGACAGGTCTGTATGTCCTGTTAGTCACCATTTTATCCTTAGTTCTCAGTACGCTGCCATGGCACATAATTGGCACATAAAATTTTTGTTGAATGAGTGAATGAATCATAATCACATTGGCAATATTTTCCAATATCTTATAAAACAAACTAAAAAAATTTAAGAAGTTTAAAAAACACTTTATACCCTATTACCCAAGCCTCCATCCTTACCCCATGCATCTTAGCATATAAAAGACTGGCAAATTCTGCAAGAGAGAAGCCTTGGACTTATTTGGCCAGAGGATGAAAACCAGGGTTCCCTGGGACATATTCTGGGCCGTGTTTCTACTCAAGGGAGACACCTGGATGTTCATGCTAGTGCTGGTTCTGCAAGCGGCAAATATCATGAAGAATTTTAAATATTTCGAGAAATTTCCCAGGAATTAAGCTACCCTGGAAATCCAGGCAAGTCTAGGATTTAAGGTTTTTTAAATGAAGCCACAGCAAATAAGCACAAATGCTACAAATAGCAGCGACACCTTAGCTGAAGAATGAACTGTACTCAGCACAGGATATAGCACAGAAAGTCCTTGGTAGGTGAATGAGTGGAGAGTTTCTAGGCTGATAGCACCTTAGCTGGCGGTCCCATCTTTTCATAGAAAGGACAATTGTATGATCAAATCTAAAATTCAAGTGTGAGCCAGGCGTGGTGGCTCATGCCTGAAATCCCAGCACTTTGGGAGATGGAAGTGAGAGGATTTCCTGAATCCAGGGGTTCAAGACCAGCCTGGGCAACATGGTGAGACCCCATCTCTACAGTAAATTTAAAAAATTAGCCAGGTATGGTGGCGCACGTCCGTGGTTTCAGCTACTTGGAAGGCTGAGGTGAATGGATTGTGTGAGCCCAGCAGGACGAGGCTGCAGTGGCTGTGAGCATGCTACTGCCCTCCAGCCTAGGCGACATAGTGAGCCTTCTACTCAAAAAATAAAAATAAAAAATAAAAATAAATTCAAGTGTGACTTTAACTAGCTGGGTAGTGAAGACTGTCATAATAAACCTGTAGAGTTCAAAGGAACTTACCCAGTAACTGGATTAAAAGAGATACCATGAACACTCTGAGGGCAGTTAAACACTGATCTTCACTTGTTGGTTTTGTGATAAACATTTTGTCAATTGCTGTTAACTTTAGAATTTAACATTTACTTCCATTTTGTCAAATTCAATATTTTCTTTTTTTTTTTCCTAGTGCTTACCTTCCTTGATCTTCTGGTATCTTTTCTGACAGTGTTCAACAATCCCTCTTTCTTGCAATTCTCTCTGCCTTTATTCCTGTGACCTGTACTTCAATTCAGTTTCATTTCAACCTATATTTATTGATTATCTGTGATGTGCCAGACACGGGGCTATCAACATTGGTTTATTAACTCATTCATCAACACTAATTGAGTTCCTACTGGGTTTGGGCACTGTGCCAGTGACTAGAAAATGAACAAGATGCCGTCCCTAACCTAACAGTCTA